GTGTGTGAGAGAGAGAGAGACCATATGAGGTGTGTGCGTGGCTTGAGTGGAAAGAGTAACGTCACTGAAGAGAAAAGCAAGATCGTTGAAGTGGTTAGAGAGTGAAGTAGTGATATCAGTAAATGAGAAAAGATACACCTACTAAAGGCTAATGTAGCTTAGTCTATCAAATATTTTAACACATAAATTACCCAATTCAGTTAGATAAATATTTTTTTTTAATGACCATTTAATGATCCATTCAGTAAATGTGTGCCTATGCTCTCTGGAGGCGGTGATGGCTACATTAACATACAGTGTGAAAATACGACATTACATTTAAAAGTCCTGCATACAATGTTTTACTTAAAGGGAAACTTTGTGGATTTTCAGCCAACTTTGTATCATTACAGTGTGGGTAGTATATGTAAATGAACAATATTGAACTTGAACTTCCCTCCATGTGGCCTGCACACAGAGCTACTGCTCAGTTAACAAGTCTGCCAGAAGGCAGGCATAATATACAGTCTGTAGGTCGAACACCACCCTAGAGCTGCCATATGAGCGGGGAGCGCTGCGTGCAGGCAACATGAAGACAAGGTAGTGTTCATTTGCATATGCTACCCACGTTGTAGAAATACAACAGTATTTGTACACATATAAAAGTTGAAAATCAGCTACATTTCCCCTTTAAAAGAGTACTCTACTAGCATTGCACTTGTTTAACACTGTCAGACTCATGATGGGCACTTTAAAACAGATCAAATCCATGCAGCAGAACCAGAGCCATCGTCTGTTTTTATTCCACACATTCTTCTTCCTTGTCAAAACCTGGCACCTAAATTACCCACGATGCAACTCAGCCGCTGACAGTTTGGTGTGTTTATGCTAGTAGTGGCTAATACAGTCTTGAAGTGCTCTGAAGCAGAGGCGAACAGAACAGTGTCTCCCAAGCTGACTGGCTCACACAGGTCATGGCGTGTGATATCCATGTGTGGTATGATTGGTTTTAAGAGTGAACACCCTCGGCCAGTGGATTGAGTTGAAGGCAACAACAGGAAGAGAGAGAGAACATGTAAATACAGTAAGCATGGAGATAGTCTTCCTGATTGAACTTCCTCTTAGCTTCATTACAATAAAACATTCTGAGAAGTCCCTCTTTGTTACACGTGCAGCCTGTGATGAGGGGTCACAACTGGCATGGCTTGACTAAGAAGGATGGTCTTGTCCTATTGACTTCAATACAAGAAGCCTAACATGTCTTGGAGCCTGCTTCCACCAGCCATAATAGAAGCAGCCGTTGGTGGTGATCTCTCAGATTTAACTCCACAGTTTGGTGATCCCCAGTGGCAGCAGAAGATAACTGCTGTGAACGTTTCTAGGATTGAAGGTCCTAGTCGAGTACTTGGAAATGATGTACGTTTTGTCGGAATGAAAACTCCTCATCGAGGTGTGGTAAGGCAGGGAGGGAGGGGGTGACTACTACTCACTGGAAAATGCTCCAAGATGAGGCAGGTATAAAACAATGTTTCCTAAATCATCAGTTTTTTTAATTCAATCTAAATTTCACAAATGTGCTGTCACTTATTTCTCTCCGTCATTAAATTGTTGTTGGTCCGCCTCTCTTTTAGAAACTTGCTTTCTCATTACTATTAGTTGAGGATGTTCTAGAGGCCACATTGTGCTGTACTCTTGGTGCTGTTTATTTATATAGACCATCATTACAAAGCATGTCTCGAAGGACCTCCGACTGGATGATAAAGCGATAAAACCTTCAGGCAGGACACCGTCTCACTCCTGTCCCAGTTAAAGCCCCAGTCACTGTCGCGTCTCTGTCCCATTTTCTGGGCCGGGCCGCAGCCTGGAATCCCTCCCCGCACTCGGCTGTGGAGTCTGATGCATAAACCATCAAAACAAACAGAAAGTGTGTAAGCGGTGGGCTTTAAAACATGCATTATTATTTATTTAGGCACTTTAATCCGATGGGACTTATAAGTGCATCAGTAGAATAAGCAAGAGCACAGGTCAGTGCTTTTTGTTATTTCTGTTCAGTTACAACACTCACATGTGAGGCAGCTGCTAAGGAGTCAGAGGATAGAAATGTAGTTTTCATTTATTTTAGTAGTTAGACCGATTCTTAACAAGACTACCAGCCTGCCAGCCTTTTGTCTGATACATTGACTCAATGATTGAGTGTTGGGACTGAGGACTACGAGTTTGTAAAAAAAAAAAAAAGAAACCTAGGGGTGTGAAGTTAGAAAGAAGTGAGTTATCAAACCTCTGTTGTCCACCGCTCATCTCTGCTTGAGGCTAGCAGCTCAAAGCTACATCAGTACATCAGTGGCACCAAACCTCAGAAGATATCTCTGGGAGGGTTTTTTTATTGTGCACCGAGTCCGACTTCCGTTTAAAAGGAAAGCGATGTTAAAGTGGTGGTGTACTCTTTTAAGGGATCATGGTCACTACAGTTTATCCTGAGGGGACCATGAATGTCTGGACCAAATGTCATGGCTGTCCATCTGAAGGTTGTTGAATTATTTCAGTGAGAAATCATGATCCGGTTCCTCAAGATAATGCACAGAAGCCGAGTGCCATCTGGTTCAATTATATTTGAGAAAAGCAAAGCAAATCAGAACCAAAACAGTGGAGATGCATAAATAGCAATGCAGAGAAGAGGAAAAATACAAAGTTTTGATTTTAGGTGAACTGTCCCTTTAAGAGCATAAAGCAAACAATTAACATCCTGCTCAGTGACAGGAAAGAAAATCACATAACATCATATAAAATACAAAGCAATATAAATTTAGCTAAAATTAAATCAATCTTTATTTTGTGGAAAAAAACTGCCAGATACACACATTCATGGGCTTTACAATTCTGGAAAACTGCAATCACATGCAACCTCTCAGTATGCTTACAATGTGATTCACTTCATAAGCCACTTCAAGTCTGAGTTGATGAAATAAAAAAAGACAAAAACAGCATAAAGCATCTTCTTGTACAATGTGCATTTCTTGGAAGATTTTCTGTCTGCAGGAGTAAAAATAAAACTCTTCATGCTGAGATCCAGCGGGGGATTTTGTTCACTGTGAAGATGTTAGGTAGTGCAATGAGCGACTGCTGCGTGCTCACACGTTTCTTTAAAAACAGATTGGAGAGCGGCAGTAGCGTGTCTCTTGCTGAAACTTTGTTTTCGCAGCCTTTGACAAAGAAGCTCACTTTTGATTGAAGATGTGAACAGCTATTAAGAGGTTATAAAGGTTTGTCTCTATCAGTAGTAACTGGAGTAACATTGTGGTTGTTTGATTGGATGATAGATATGTAAAAAATATTTTTCATCTACAAGTCAAAGCTGTTTAGAGCTTTTTTGAATAGATACAATATTAACACAAATCCCATACAGCTGAAATATCGTAATGAACATGTACTTGCAGAAATGATGTCATCCCTTTGCAATGGCAACACATAATCCACTCTGGGTCAGATCAACATATCATAGATGAACAGAAAACATCATCTTGTTGTTCAAAGTCTAGACTGGATGAGAATGTGGTGAATGTATGTAAATGTACAATAAAGAATTGGATTTTCCCCCCATAAGTTAATGAGGTCGGTGTTTTGTTTTTACCTCCTAGGAAATGTGCGGGAATGGACTTAAACTGCTTCAAACTGATTTTTTGCTCCTCTTCAAACACCAATACTTTTTACAGTTTTTATAAAATAATGCATTATTGTACATCTTCATCAGCTTACACCCTCCCTCACACAGACACAGACAACTTTATATTTGTTTGATCATCTGTTTAGAGTGTTTGTGCACTGCTTCGACAAAGGCGCCCACGTTCTCCGGGTCCATGTCGGGGTAAAGGCCGTGGCCCAGGTTGGCAATGTAGCCCTTCGTACCGAAACCCTCCAACATCTTCTTCACGATGTCTGAAATGCGTTCCTGAAGGAGGAAGGAAGAGACAGAGAGACAGACAGAGAGAGAGAGAGGGTTAAAGCTGAAGATCGACTGGCAGTCGTGGTTCACCTGCAGCTTTAGAATATTTGTAGTAGTATTTGAAATACACTCCAACTGGGTCAGAGGAGGAACAATTTTAGAACTTCTGGTGAAGAGTTGCCATATTATTATTGCCATACAGTGTGTAAACAACTGTCAGAATGAACTGCAGCACTTTACATAAAGTAGAAATATATGAATAGAAATACTTCATATAATAGGATTCACAGCATGTTCGCCAGGTGCTGAAAATAGCTGAGAAAGAAGAACAACAGAAAAGTGTAGAGGAGCAGTAGAGTTTTTCCATTCTTTTTTTGTATTTGTATGAAAAACAATTCAACTCTGGGGCCCTCATTGTCAACTGAACAACTCACTAACCCTTTCATGTATAGCATAGTATGACCAGATGAAGGAACCACCGATACTAAACAAAAACACTTGTTTGACCATCTTCTCTGGTCTCTGTCCAGTTCATCCTCTCCTCCACTGTATAATCTTATTCTTTCATTATTCCGTCACATGATCACCTCAGTGTCTGGGACCACTTTGCTTTAAAAAGTTTTTTTAGCAAATAACTTTTTATCAAGTCATCTTTATTTCTGTACAGCACTGCTCTAATGACGTCCTTAACAGCTGTATTATTATTTACAGGCGCTCTAACACCACTGCTCACTGTTAACTGTCTGCTGATCTCCAACCGCAGGACTAGAAGCTCCGCAGTGTGAAATTCTTCTTTTTACTTTTCAATAACATTCTGGTGGATTCTTGCAAATGCCATTAGGGGCGCTAGAATCAGCCTTTACTTATTTAGCTACTTTATTTTATTTGTTTTATACATTAAATGTATTTGTCTTACTCTAATTTATATTGAACGCTTGTTCGGCTTCTCCTTTCACAGAGACTATTGTGTCTCTGGGGATGGCTAGGAGGGTTTCTGTAAATGCTTTGAGGTATTTTGGACAGTTTGAGAAAAAAAAAAAAAAAAGGAAAAAAAAGTTTCTGTCCATTTGAGAGGCTGAACCAAGGTGGGAGTGGAAGTTACCTTTGGAGCGTAGAGAGCACATGGGTCCATGTTTCCCTGCAGGCTGACCTTCCCTCCTGTGCGCTCCCTGAACACACACACACACACACACACACACACACACACACACACACACACACAGACACAGACACACAGAGACACACACACACACACAGGGTAATCCTTTAACCAACACGTTAAGTATTTGATGAGCGGAGCAGGAAACATAGACGTTTGTTGACTTTAATCTTGCACCCAGTGACAAACCGGGGACGAGGGAGAGGTCACTAATGGTTAACCTGCTCTTCAGGAAAACACAACAGTATGCTTCATGATTAGTGCTACACATTACTGGCTTTGTCCCTGAGATGTATTCAGCTTCCATTCAGCTTAAGTTAATTTTCTACAGTCTGATTGTGGAATTGGAAGCTGTGTCTACAGTGTTCTCTAGAGTGTGAGCAGAAAAGTATACACAAATCTCCAAAGCAAACCTTACAAACTACAACCAAAAGGAGCCAGCTCTGGATTTGTTTTTAGAAGCATTAGAGCTTATGTTTACCACAGAAAGGTGCAGTTTGTATTTAGATGTTTAGGTGATTTTATTGTGTTTTTTGGTCATTTTAGAATCAAACAGCCTTGTACACAATAATTGGTAAGACGTAAACAGTAAAGTCAAAATAGCTCTGTTTGTGTGTGTGTTACCGTGCAGATCGTGGGTCAATGGTCCAGTCCAGTCCAACCACATCATAATGAGACTGAGACAGATCCTCTACAGCGTAGTGAGCATCCTTTGCAAACACAATCTGGAAGACACAGTCACAGGAAAGTAAGAAGTCAATTTCCAAAGCAACCTCAGCACAAATTGACATGAACCATTTTTGGTGAAATGCTGCCATCTTCTGGTACTCAAGCAGAACAGTTATTTACTGTATATTAGACCAGATGGATTCTTAATGATCTCTCCTGGGAAACAGTGTTGTTGAAGCAACAGAGTGATGATAAGAATAGAGCAGTACTGAAACTAATATAGAAAGTAATTATACCGAGAGAACAAACGGAAAAATACAGCAGAAAAATAGCGCTGTCACAGTTGACTCATTTGCAGTTTAGATGATGTGCATGTGTACATCATTAGCTACTGACATTGTCAAGAATATATACAGAAATAAGATAAGATACTGCAGAAGTTTCTGAGTGTGTGTTTGTTGTGGATTTGCAGATATTTATACATTTGGACCTAAGCCCAGTTTACACTTATGTGTGCAGCTGTCTCTCACCATGGGAACGTCCTGTCCCGCCTCCTTGAGTTCATCTTTGACGCGGCGAGCAATGTCTCGCAGGTAAGGCAGAGAGTACTCATTAAACTCAACCGGCCCCAGAACGCCGGCATGGGACTCAAATACCTGCAGAGCCTGGACGACACACCACACACACACACACACACACACACACACACACGAGGATAAAGTTTATTTAAAACCAGCAGTAACTGGTTTTTTGGCCCTTTGGGGCAGTGCAACAAGCTGTAAACACATCACTGACATATAATCACTAAGTGAGCAAACAGTTGCCAGTTTAAACATGCAGACTGGGAGCACTGTGTCTCTGCTGTTTGGTGTTGAGGTGGTAGTGTTTATCAGAGCTTCTTAGCTAAAAATAATGACCTACTACATTTAAAAACAATGCTGATACATGCAGGGAGACCAAAACAATGAGCTAAAAGATGCTAAAAACACTCCACAGAGCTGTAGAATCAGGTGATAATTCTCTGTGGTTATTACAAACCACGCCCTTCACATTACACATAGTCATCTGATCCATTCTTAATTTACAAATATTGATTATAGCAGCTTTAAACTAAATGAAGCCAGTTGAGGATTTTTCTAATAGGTCTCCCTGAACAAGATACATGTAGCAGCCTTTTCTTGTTTTAAATGGAAAAAAAGTAGATAAAAAAAAAACCTAAAGGAGGGTGCTTCACAGTCATACTCCTCAAAGATTACTAGGACAACTGCTGCACTTCTTACTATGCTACATCACCAGTTACTTTAAGTGCTGTGTGTCATAGCAGGCTTACTAATCATCTCAAAAATGTTGTGGTTGTTAAATAATTGTCTTTCCTCACACTGCTGCTGTGCCAAAAGGTGAGAGGTCAAGGACACACCAGCAGAGAAGATGTTTGACACCTCTAGAGGAGCTCAAAGCAGGTAGAAGGACAGACTCCCACCCACCCTGCTGCCCCAAATCCAAAAACTGCAGTAAAAATGGCAACACACCCCAGTGGTGTGACATTGTCTAGACTTTGTGTAATAATCCAGGCTGTGCTCAACTTTTTGGGTGACTTTTTGCTACCTCAACTGAATTTTTCTGCTGAGACTGAGAAGTAGGTTTGTTTCCATAAGGAGTGTGTGCCACAATCAGCAAATAATGTTGATGTCCAAACTTTTATACTGAATCTCTGAGCTCTGGTTTTTAACCCTTTTTAATCTTCTTGTTAATAAAAGAGTGAGTCCAGAGATTTGAAAGCAGGGGGTCTAACCTGAGCTCCAGCTGCCACCTGTCCCAGCAGATACTCCACTATCACATCTGTGAGCATCTTCAGCAGCATGTGGCTGGCCTCTGGGTGTCGGTACAGCCAGCGCTTCGCCTTAGAGTGGGTGTTGGAGCCTCCGCCTTCGATCATGTAGGACATCAGCGTCCACTGACACAGTAAAGAGGGAAGAGAATATTTAGACTTTCATTTTTTTTGTTAGTTTGGCAGCATTTTTTAACTAAATTTTAATTCCAGTTTAGTGCATCACAGCTGTACATTATTTTCTCTACATCTTTAAATGTGTCTGTGTCATCTCTAACCGGAGCTCCAGTGAATCCTATGAGCGGCACTTTGCCCTCTATCTTGTGTCTGGTCAGTGTGATGGCTTTGAAGACGTAGCCCAGCTCTTTGCCCACGTCCACTTTGGCCGTCAGACGCTGCAGGTCTTCAGGCTCCTTCAGGGGCTCCGGGAACGTAGGACCTTTACCTGCCACCATCTGGACATCCATACCCAGGGCCTGGAGGATGGAAGAAGAATGAATAAAGAACATAACAATATTTGACAGATTGCTGCAATCTGTTATATTGCACAATGTTTGTGAAGGAAGTGTGTCAATAGTCAACGTTCTTGTTAGGAGCTGAGAGCACATACACCAAAACCATCCACTAAAGGTTTTTTTTTTAAATCATATGGCCTGTAGTTTTTTAAATTAACAATAGAAATATGTAACTCTTTATAGCTGGTTTATCTCTCCATGCAAAGTAGTGCATGGAAGCTCAAAGCAGTGCATCACTAACACCAAACCCAGCTTTATATTACTAATAATTGCAAAATATTAATATACATTTAGGGTTTTATTTGGCTGATTTTGCTATCAGGTATCTCCTCACTGAGATATTAACGTTTGTGTTTTTAAAGTTTGAGGTTTATGTAATGCGACAGATTCACACCAAATCACATTTGGTACATTTATGTAACCACCCCTGAGTTAAATATGACTCATCAAAAATATTTTTAGGGGAAGAAAAAGGAGAAAGACTTTGTTCTGTAAATACTCGAAAATGCTTTGACAGGCATCAAGAGATAGTGAGAAAATCACACAGAACTCATTCACTGTGTTTTCAATTACCAGGTAAGGTGCATTCATCATTTAACAGCAGAAAAAACATCAAAACAAGCCGATACAGCCAGCACACATCACTGGCTAATAAAGCCCACTACCGACTCAGGTTTCATTTATGACACTTACCCCAAGGATATCACAGAATGATATAGTGCAGTCAACATGTTAATGAATGAGCCTGTTCCTAATAACCCTACCTGTGGGATAACCAGGATGTCAGAGAAGATGATGGCAGCATCGAAGGGAAAACGTCTTAGAGGCTGGAAATGGAAATAAAAAAGGAAGTGACATTTTACTGTCACCATCTCAACACAATATGACACTAGTAGTATCTCAAAAGCTTTATTTTGCTTTATTTTCTTGGTGATGGTTTAAAGATTTGTATTATTTAACAGAGTCTGAAAATATTTCAAATGCTTCTGATCATAGTGTATTCAGTATTTTTTTAATTAGATTAATTAAATGTACAATGGGTATTTTCATATCGGAGATAGAATCTTGTTATGCTGACACTACAGCCTTAAAGGTTAAAAGTCTGAAAACATATGAAAGTATTCACATTTGAACTTTCATAATGAGTTTGAAAAGCGCTGTTATACCTGCAGAGTGAGCTCACAGCAGGCCTCTGGTGACCGACACGTCTCAAAGAAGTCCTTCCCTGCTCTGGACTCACGGAACTCTGCAAATAGATTCAACAAAGCATGAATGTCTCTGCGATGTCTTAATGTAGTTTCTCCTAAAATTATACTGTTCAAAGAAATATATCAGTCGAAAGCAAAGTAAAAGGGTGATGCAAAGAAAGTCTCTGTATTTAGGTGAGGGAAAGAAGATGTATTTCAGGAAAGGCAGTGATCACAGTACCTGGCAGGTACCTTCCAGCCTGTCTCATACACCAGACAGGGACATGCTCAGTTTCTTCTCCTCGGGCTGCTCGCAGGAAGGTATCGTTCCGGAGCTGGGGGAAGTCCTTGGGGCTGGACAGGAAGATAGACACAGGGATGGGACTCTTCTTTTGGTGTACAGTAAGTCACAGTCACTGACTCCCACATGTTGCATTACTCACAACATTGTGCTGAACTTCACTGTGAAAAAGGTCATGCAGATTGATAGCAGCAAGGCCACTCTAACAGCCCAACATATACTGACATTAGAGATTACTGAATATGTCTGACATTACAGATCTAAACGTAACTGCCCTTTGTGTGAATGGGGTTTAGGTGGCAGTGTCCTAATCACTATAGCTACAATACGGTATGTTATCTAACATACAGGCAGACCCCTCCCTTTCCCCAGCAATGATATAAGGCATTCAGCTGAAGAGCTACCAATGACTGAGTGATTATGAGAGATAACAGCGCTCTTCTCTCTTATCATCCTCCAGCAGTAGACACAACGGTTAATGGATGTGTCAGTGATGCATCACAGCTGGACTGAAGTCAAACTTTATTATAAGTCTAACTGTTAGATGGATCACTAAAAACTGCTAACCAGGGACCAAAGCAGGCTACTGAAGCCTCCAAACAAAACTCTTTATGTTAACTTTACTGTAACTTTAATTCAGTTTACTTCCGACACTTCGAATGAATATATGACACACTTTTACATGTTCAGAACTGCTATTAGACTCTTCACTGAAAGGAAACAGTGTTAAGTTCAGTTGGAATAGTTCAGAAAAAGCTGCGATCCACTGTTTATTCTGCTTTCACCCAGTAGCAATCCGTCAACAACACTAAATATAAATATTCACGCAACATATGTTTCCTCACTAAACAGCGCTATGGAGGTTTAGCCCATTCAAACAGGAGCAAAACATATACAATACTGATAATGATTACATTTTAAAAGAAATAACTATTCTTTGATGAATTATATATACGCCGAATTCATCAGGAGACCCAAATGATTCGTTAAGCCTAATAATTCCTGTTTCAGAAGGAGTGCAACTTAAAATGTGAGCAAGAGAATATTAAATTGTTGGTTTTCTGAACGAGTTTCCACAAAAGAAGGAGCTGCGCTTACCAGGGTTAATACGCAGCGTTAACTGGCGGGGAATGTAGCTCATTTCTTGTGAAGATAGGATTACAGACGCTGAACACGACGAGGGGTTAACTCATGTTGTGTAAAGAAATGTTTTCATAAGGTTGACACAGGCAATTTACATCCCGTCCCTCTGTTTGGACAGGTAGACACAACGAGCCTGAACTTAATGACAGTCTGTGAGTGTTAGGCTAACAAGAGAAGCACTTACAGGATGAAACCGTCCTTGCTCATGTCGGCGGGGCTGAGGAGGGGACAGGCTTTCTCGGAGGCTCCTCTGTCTCTGTACAGATGTCGGTTGCGAGCTGCGGCTCCTCCACTGTCATTAAAAGCTGCTCAACAGCTCTTTATACTGCTACACTCCGTCGATCCAGGCCGCGGACATCTTGGAAAACCACGTGACCAAACCAGGAAACGAGCCGCCTTTTATAACATTTCTGTATGTTTGGTTATATACTCTCTATATATTCTATATCTTTACCTGTTTGTTCCTTATGAGAGATACACTGGATAACATATTATACAAGGACACATTCATCAATATTATAGTTATAATAATAATATATAACATATTGTTTCCTCTGAATTCAAAGGTAAAAGATATAGATATTAAATAAAAATCAGCATAGAGCCACCTTTAATGTTACATTTTTAAATTGTATGCAATGAATATACAGTCAATTTTAATACAATGAATTCTGAATATAAAGATAAAATATTAAATGACTCAAATGTAAGTTATCCTTCCTTTTGGGTGTACTTTTTGACCAGGATGTGAAGATCACATGATGATGTGATGATCAGATTGTTTTTGAGAAAATCAACAGAATAATTTAGGATTGGTCTCTCAAAGTAAGAGTGAAATATGAGCTAAATGTACAAAGAAATCCAACACGGAATAAAATTTACTGCACACAATTTTAGTCCATACAAAATATACACGCTATTGTTTCAAATAGCAATGAGTACACAACTCAAATGATCATTAAAAAGACAAACACACACACACACAGCTCGGAGTTCTAATGTTCAAAATAGTCCATATAAAGTCATTGTATGTCATGCCTCTGTACAATTAACGTTAAGTTTAAATTGAAGTTATTTTTACTCAAGTGCAACCTCAAAATCCAGATTACACGTTTGATTATATAATACCATATTTGAAATGATGACATGGTCCTACAAAACAAACAAGAGCTACAGCACTTCAATATGAAGTGGACTTAAAGGTGATCAACCCTTCAACTGGTCAATGAAATGGCAAGCAAACAGAAACAACTCACTTGTAGTCCTAATCAGTTGAACAGCTTCTGAAATGATTAGTCATGAAATGTAAAATGGATAGTCATAAGCTTACATGTATATTTTTTTGTAGAACATGATTTGCTCTAATACCTTCCCTGTTAATTATTACCCCAAACGGAAATGTTATTATTACAGAGTCTGTAGACACTTTAAATCCTATGCTTTTTACAGTATAAAAGAGGTAATTGCTTTACCTGTTATTTTAACAGTTATATTCCTAATGCAGCATGTCCCTTTTTCATGTTGCCACTTTATTTACACAGACCGAGTCTCTATGAGGCAGCTGTTCGTACAGAAATCAATATAGTAACCTTCCAAAATTCTGTCCTACCTTTGCAGGCTCATTCAGTCCCTCTTTATGCAAACATCATTTAAATTTAACCGTTTATTTCCAAATATAGAAATGTCTAGGCACAAGACTCTAGTGTCAAAAAGTAAAAATAAAATAAATGCTCATTTGTTTTTAGCAATTTTGTGCAAAATCCCTCTCTATACCTCAGAGTATGCTTCAAGTGAAATTAAACTGCAGTAAATATAGTATTTGTACAAACAAATAAAATTTTGAGTATCTATAATATATTTTGGAACCTGCATACTGTATGTTCTCAAAAGCACATATTAAAGATGTACAGTATATAAATGTATATAGAATGTGCATATATACAAATATTACAAAACCATAAGTGGCTCCAAATATACAGTGTCCCTCTCTATGGTTGATGCTGGTACTGTGCCTCTGTGGCGGTGTAGAAGTCATCCAGCACACTCTGCATGTAATCAAAGGTGGGCCTGTCTTCAGGCTTGTTCCTCCAGCAGGACATCATGATCTCATAGAGCTCAGCAGGACAGTTGTCTGGCTGAGGCATCCGGTAGCCGCGCTGCAGCGAGGACATCACCTCTGCTTTAGTCATACCTGAGGACAACACAGGCAGACATACAGGTGGGAGTATAGGAGTATTTAATGAGAGGCAACACATGCACTTAATATAGACACATACTCAAGCTGACATGAATAAGAGTATGCAAACTGTAGTAGTACACAGTAACTAACTGGCGGAAATTGACAAGTAACTCACTGTGAATTTCACTGTAAGAGTCTTACTATGGAAGCAGTAATTGTCCCAGACCTAGCAGTTCAAATGACTTAGAAACAGTGCTGCAATGGAACTCAAGTACTGTACTTAAGTATACAGTATTTCCATTTTGTGCTACTGTCTTCTTCTTCTCCACTTCATTTCAGAAGGAAATGTACTTTTTATACATTTTACTTAACTACTACAAAAAAGTAGACACAGCTATAAATATTTGAGTTCCTCAAATATTTTTGTTTCTCTTTTTTTATGCAAATACAAATACTTTTATTTACATAAAAAATGCAATTATTACAGAAACAGTACTGGCATAAACTACAGGTGTACTGTCTGTGTTCTACAACACGTAATAGGCTCTTTCTTTTGTTAAATTTTTTGTTGCTGCTGTTTTTCAATCAAAGGCCACAGTGGTTGCAGTGGTGGCAGCAGCAGCAGTTCTAGAGTAATTATAGTAGTAGTAGTTGCAGTTTTAATGATAACACATGTAATGTGTGTATCAAATGAACTATATCATAAAGTGCATGAATTACAAATCACCAGTAGAGAGCAGTACAATGCTTCACAACACTACCACACTACAAGCCCAATATTATATTTCATTTCGGTTACTTGAAACAAGGCTTGATTCAAGTAAACCTGGCAACTGCCTCCTGACCCTGGAGCCAGGCCCCTAAAAGCCCCAGGTTCATTTGGGGCAACTGGTTTGTGGTAATTTGATCAATTGTTCCTCTGTTTGGGAATATCCACTGCTACGGCACAATACCAAATGATATGATAGGGCCTTCTGTTTGATGACCCAGTCCTAAGGCTATGAACTGAAGAGGGACCCTGTATCAACATTTAATCATAAGACTTTTATTATTTAGTTTATTTTCAGCTCATTCAACTCAAATCAAATCAAACCAAGTGGCCAAAAAGGTGTAGGCTCTCTTTGGATATCTTCGGATTTATACACTTGAAAAAAGACTACATATATTTTTATACATTATACCCAAAAGTCACAAACCAAAATACACTAGTGTTATACCTCCATGTTATATTTGTTAATGATTTTTCGTTATTTAGTGTATTCCACATTTTTCAAAGCCATTCTGTGCTATTCCACACCTGTTTTCTCTTATTCTATGCTCAGTCTAATCTGAAACTCTGGATATGTGCTATTATTTTGCATTCAGCTGATAATGTGTTTACATCGTTGCTACCACTACTGCTAAAACTAATACAGTGTTCTTAACACTTGAAATGACTCCAGAGACAAAGTCACACACAATCAGATAAAGATCGTTATGATGAGGTGATGATGATCACTATGATGGTAATAATAATGACTCCTAACCATAAACACGTAGTCCACTGAAAGTTTACCTGGGTATGGGATTTTCCCGTAGGTTATAATCTCATAGAGCAGAACTCCGAAGGACCACATATCTGACTTGATGGTGAATGAGCCGTAGTTAATGGCCTCGGGAGCGGTCCACTTAATGGGGAATTTGGCTCCTGCAGAGGACACAAACACACATAGTTACACACACACATACACAGGCTCATATCACCACAAGGTTGGACTTAAATTATACAAGCAAAGATGCCATTAATGAAATCTGTAAATGACAATTCCCCTGCTGTTTGTACTGTACACAAATCTCATCCACACTGTGTATGTAATATGTGTGTATGTATTACTCTAGCATCAGTGTCTCCTGGTTCCAGATCAGTGATCAATCAGGCTTCATCTCATGACACAGAGATACATACATTCTTTCCTACTTATCTGTCTGTATAAAGCATTGTTTAATAGACTACAAGTGATTAGACTGGTGAGAGTTAGAAAGGAAATGAAGCCTGTGTGTGGTTTGAGGCTATCAGAGGCATTGGTCATTGCGGTATGGGTGCAGTTCAATTGAGTATAGAAAAGTAGAGGAGCAAGCAATAAAGGAAACCACAATCGGGCCCGTCACATGATACATGATAGTTGTTGATTCTGCTTCTGGCCCTCTAAAGGGGATTTTTATTTTAATGCGTCACAAAGATCCAGTCAGGGAGTTCAATTGTGATGGGAAAAAAACTCTTATGCAAGATGGACACATACACACACACACACACACACAAAGTTTACCCTCTCTGGCAGAGTATTCGTCGTCCTCTATGACTCTTGCCAGTCCAAAATCTGCAATTTTACAGAGCAGACTCTCTGACACCAGGACATTAGCCGCCCTCAGGTCTCTGTGAATATAATTCTTCTTCTCTATGTACGCCATGCCCTCCGCTATCTGCAACAGCACAAGAGAGACTGGCATGAATGAATGATCATTACCCCAAATTTCATTCAAACGGATGAGCAGGATTGAAAAAGCAAACAATAAAACAGGCGAAGAAAAATGATATATTATGTGTGTATTCAAACAGATTGTAACTGGTGTTATGAACTGGTCATCAGTGTGTCAAACTACAACCTACAAGCAGAAACATTTCTACTGCTAATGCTTGCCTTTCTCTCTTTAAAGTCACTGTGAACTGAACGTTCACATACAGTACATATATAACTTGGTCAGAGTAAAAAGTGAAATAAGACATTACATCTGGATTTTTCTCTTTCTCTTTTACATCTTATTGACAGATTTATCATTAAATAAAAAATGAAAATCAATTAAATGTAAATTTGTATTACAATACAAACCCAACTTAATATAATAATCACAGTACCCGTCACTGTCACAAACACTGCGAACAAATGATTTTTCTACCCCATGTGAAGTCTGTTAGCTTAGCCAATTGATACAGTTTTCATTCAACCTTTAGTTACACCATCTTTAAAGAGTGTGCAGACTGTGTAAGGGAAAGGGGAAGAAAAACAAAAAGAAGAGAACAAAAACTAACAGCAATGCTTTTTTTATAGGTCTCTAATTGCCTAATAACTTTGTAAGACGTTTCTTGTAAAGAACTCTTTCTTGTAAAGAACTCTTGTGGAAGTGTACCAGTGGAGCTTACATAGTTCTTTCCAGGAAACTGGCTCAAATGCATAAGAAGTAGGGTTGCAATATAAGAAGTCAACACTCCAAATCTGGTGCTTTATTAGGTTTTTCATTGAAAAGAAAAGTTGATGTGTCTTTGCTACAATAAACACATTTGTTTGATTTGTGTTCCTCATAACTCTTGGCTACCTATTTTGACCATTTCTGAGGTAGGTCCACCTGCCTACATAAATGTATAAAATCCTAATAATAGAATAATTTATTAACACAAGTCTTCTTTGGCACTCATTGACTCACTGACCCAACACAGTTTGGAGTGGACCCTGCCCGTGCTGAGTTGCGATTTAACAGTGAGCTGTCAGATTTCTAGTATTTCTGGTTCTTGTTCCTCCTTTCAGTTTAGCAGTGGAAAGAGTTACATTACATCTGTTTCACAACCATAAAGGACAGCAAGCTGTGAGAAAAAGCAGCATATTGTGCCCTGTGTGAAAATCACCTGCGCTGAGAAATCGATGAGCTTGGGGAGTTGCACTTTGCACCCTGTGTCGCTCTTCAAGAAGTCCAGGAGGCTCCCTAAAGCAAAGACAGGAGATAATGTCAGAGTCTGATGTTAGCTGTGACTCTAATCTACAAAACGTTTTGGACTGTTAGGTTCACTTTTTGAACACTTATCTCCCAACCTGGCTAATCCTCTTTTGTGAAATATGTCCAAGGAACAACGTGTGGTCACATGAATACTGTATGTCACAATACTAAGTTGCTGACATATTGCACTTCCTATTGCTGGATGCTTATTCTGAATATCTACTAATTGAAGCTCAGATAAGAATATGAGATATTAAAAATAAAGCTCATTTACCGTTTGCCATAAACTCAGTGATGATGTAGATGGGTTCTATCTTGGTGACAACAGCGTAGAGCCGCACCAGCCTCTCGTGCTGCAGTGTCTTCATGACGTTAGCTTCATCCATGAATGCTTCAACCGTCATGGTGCCTGGCTTCAGCGTCTTCACCGCTACTTTGGTTGTGTTGTTGTAGTAAGCTGATTGAAGGAGGAGGGTGACAGAGAGATTTGGAGAAATGGAGAATATTAATACAGATCATCTGCCTGACATGCTGCATGGCTCCAGTGTCTTCTGTGCTACAATGACTACTGGACAGTTCCAAACAGACTATAACTCTGAAAACTCTGATTTTTTTTTTTTTTTAACTGTTTTATTATATCATTTTACAATTATTTATTTAACCCTAGTGTAAAAACATTTACAAATGACAAACTTGATAGAACTTTTTTCAGATGACACTTTTTAAACCAATTATAATTCCATTTCCTGTGGAAATTGTGATAATAATAGGACCCACAAAAAATGCATATCATAGGAAGTAACACTATTTACTATTTATAAAAAAGTAGCTGACAAACTGCTCAACTTATTCATTGACGCATGATTCTAAAGTATATTAAACCCTTTAAAAATAAATCAAGTTTGTGTGTGTTGCTTGTTGCTGAAGTTTAGTAGAGCTGAAGCTGAAACATTGCAGAATGTTCACAATCTTTTCTATGCCAGTTTGAGGAACTAAAAGATGCACTCCAGTAATTTAGTGTTGCACTTCCACAAAGATAGGGGAAATAATAGTTACAATTAAAGAGGCAGATGTTGAGATATACTAATTTCCCATAATGCAGCATGATATCATATCTTATTGGGTAGCCACGAGTACATGGGTGTCTGTGGCTCAGCGGCAGAGCGGGTCGTCCCCCAATCGGAAGGTTGTTGGTTCGATCCCCGGCTTCTCCTGCCACGTGTCGAAGTATCCTTGAGCAAGATACTGAACCCCATAAATTGCTCCTGATGCACAGCATCGGTGTGTGAATGTGTATTGAATGATTAGTTTCTGTTTGGACTTTTGCCATTCCACTGAGTGAATGTGGTGTGAAAGGCGGGTGAATGTGGCACGTAGTATAAAAAAGCGCTTTTGACGTGGTCGGAAAGGACTAGAAAAGGCGCTATACAAGTACAGGTCCATTTACCATCTTTCATTATTCATGATATGATTTTTACGAGCATTATTTTAAAATTCAGCAGAACATCTACTGAGGTGCAGCTTCCGTGTGAGTCTGATCATCAAGTGAAGGCACCTGTGCGATCACACCATAGGTTTATAGGGGCTTTAATATTCAAATTAAGTAGAAAAAAGCTAGCATGATTACCTTGTTTCACTCAATTTTTAGGGGGATTTTTCGCTGTTGGCACATAGCAGCAGCTGGAAAAGGGTGTCAGTACCAGACCAGCTTCTATAGATAGAGTATCGTAGTAAGATTTGAGTTATTTCTGGATATCTTTTATTTTCTAATCTAGCTCTTTGAGTGACATTTGCTTCGTTTCCTTTCGTGTTTCATGTGTGACTTGGCATTGTTTCAATTCCCTTTCATATACATATTTCATTACACAAACCGGACTCTTCTGTTATTGTTGCTGTTTATTTTGAAACACTAGAGATATCAACAGAGTCAGGCCTTTAAAAACTATTAAAACCAAACAATTTTAAAATGGTATTGTAGCTCTGTGGGCCGACTGAACAAAGAAACAGATATTTGCAGTCAGTGCAGTAATAACATGACACTGTATAAGCCTGGTAATTAGCATGCAACTCTTGAAACTAAAATAATGTGATATAAAGAAATTCTAACAGAGACAGACAGGTTTGAGGAGTACAGTAAGGGAGGAGGGCAGTGTGGGTTTGGGCTGTTGGTGGCACTGGTGGAATATTCATGAAGACCGACATTGGGTGAGTTGTGATTAGTTTTTTGGTATCTTCATACTGTACGATCATTCTTATTTTTACTGTTTTATTGTGGATCGGGGTTTGAGCCACTCTGCCCGTGAAAAGAAAAGAATCCAAACACATCGCTCCACCACAATGAATACACATTGATGATATTCTCACATATAGCTTTTTAAGATTGAAAAGATCCATTTAACAATGATAACCAGTGTGTTTGTGTAATATCATTATCACAAATGAAACTGTATTATATGCAGTATAAACTAAACTTCCCCATCATTATCCAGCCACAGACAAGACACATTGTCACCGCTATGATGTCACATACTTCTCTCTTGTTTCAACGAATTTCACCAGCAGTTGCTTAATAGGTCATTATAGGAATATGTTTTTTAAACATGTGATACAAATAACAAATGTAAAAAGTCTCTCTCTCTCTCTC